ACCATCTTTTCCTGTGGTATTATATGTGCATAAATTAAAAAAGAATGGTCTTGTATAAGGACCGAAAACAGAACATTCCAAGTCCCCACCCCCCAAATCTAACTTCAATTTATCAAGGAAAATGTCTGATACAAAATATACATTCTTATAAAATGATTGTTTTGTGTATGGATAGGATGTTTCAAATTTGAGCAGAATTATGTTTCCCAAACCTAAAAACAATTACTTGTACAGCATGCTAAAGTCAAACAAACAATATGAAAATCTTCTCTCTTGTTACATTTGCCATACCTCTGATTCATTTCAGGTCCTTTTGCTAACACCTTCTGCATATCACACCTGAACAATGTTTTTTTCTCCCAAGAGCAGATTTTTTAGATTTATTCTATCTGATACACATTATATGGAAAAGTAGCACATTTTGTCATATGGAGTGTCAGAGGTCTATACTTTGAGGTAACAGGTGAGGTCTAAGTTAGAAACATTATGCTAATAAAACAAAGTAGCTTTACAAGAAATACTTAATACTAGTATCATGACAGAGAGAATTAAGTTCTCATCTAAAACCACTCGCATTTGCTATATTCATAGAAGTGGACTAGAAAAATGCTACATTAGTCCTAGTTTGATGTCTTATTTAATTGACCTCTAAAGTGACATCTTCCATCACACAGACTGGCCCGTGCTATATTCATTTATTTCCATCTTACCTAAAATTATGATGAATGGTTTGAGCTCCATTCAATTATTGAAAATGTGCAAAGAAACAGAAACAATGAAACTGGCAAAGTGCTCTGCATTCTTAGGAACAATTTAGGCTAATTAGCATCAACTTCTCCCCCATTCATCATACCCCTTTAGAAATATAAACAAACTGTCAGCTCTAACCTAACAAACAGATCACTGAGCTACTTAACACAAATTATTCTTACATGAAAAGCTCCTTCTCAGGCAATATTCTCCTCTAGGGCATCTGGGAAGTTGAGCTATTAAAATTGAAGACATATGTTTTAGTCAAACTTAACTCCCAGATTGTACTGATCGCTGTTGTGACAGTTTTCCATCAGCATGCTGCTGCTGGCAAAGTACTACGTATTTTAAACAAAGCAATGCAACAATAGACTTCAATGATGCATGTTCATTTAGTATAATATCAATACCACCCAATTAGCACCCTGCACCTAGAAGTGGAGCTACTTAAAATTATTGCTTAGGTACAACTCGAATCTCAGATTTCATCTGGGGTTTCTTTTAGAACTACAAGTTCTCTATGTTCCTGTGAGCTTGCAGAAGGCAGCGGCTATGACACTGTCTGTAGCAGTAAACCTGCATTATATGGGAAAACTGTGGTTTAAGCATGTTTTAAAATGGCTTTTTTGTTGTCTCTGCTAACTCATGTTTCTTCTTCCCAAAATCCCCCACGGCCAGTTCTTATCTCTGTCTCAGGAATGTCCTGAGAAGATATCAAGAAGTCTTCTCATTGGTCTCTTGTTAACCCCTTCCTTATTTGGCTGTTCCCTGCCTGATTGGTGTTTTGTAAGACCCCTTACCTTACATGGTCCCTTTTGACCCTCCCAAGAGCTTTATAAACCCCTAACCACAATAAACTCTCTCTCTCTCACCTCCTCTCCACGAGCTGTGTGCTGTCTCTCCGGGAGCCATGGGACCTCGTGGGTGGGGGGAGGGGTGAGCACCTAACCCCTCCATGCGTCCAGGACCCTGAAGAAACCCCTGGAGCTGGAGTAACCCCTTCCCCATCCACCTCAAGCCTTCGGAAATGGAACCCCACAATGGGAGGAATGCACCCAGAACTGTCAGCTATGACAATAGTTTAAATCAAGCTGTAGAGGAAATGCTCTGAAGAGGCCATAGAGGGGAACACTGCTGTCACTCCTGGGTTCTAACTCAAACTTCTCCATAAACACCACAAATAAAAGGACGGCTAAAGGAAAACTGGGTTTCCAGAGGTGAATACTCCCTGAACACTGCAATCCATGTGCTACTTTGAAAGCCAAAATGAAAATGAAATACTTTCTTCCCTTTCTCCAAAATGCAAAACTAAATTTGTCCCCTACTCCATACCTGACTAAGAGATTTTTGTGCTAAACTAAGACTTTTTTATCACTGCTAAAATAGTTCACTATCTCATAAAAGGAAGAAATAAATACTGGCCTGGAGCTCCTTGTCTTCACAGGTATTTGAGATTTTGTGCATACATAAGAATAACCTGGATCAAGGGTTGGACTTGATGATCTCGAAGGTCTTTTCCAACCTGGCTGATTCTATGATTCTATAAGCCTTTTCCAGTAAGAATTGCAAAATTGGAGAATATCCTCTACTATTTTTCAGAACAAATATAATTTGGAAACTCCAGAGATATTGGAAATAATCAGTGTTGAGGAACTCTTTCATGAGTTGGGCTTTTCTTTTAAATCTATAAGAAAATTCTTACTTACTGCCTTGGTTCCCTTTAAACAGCAAAATATACAATTAGAACTTTGTGAATTAAAAGATTAAGACTTTCCCATCCTTTGTCCTTCGATTTTCTCTCATTTCTCTGCTTTGCTATTTTATGCAGGGTCTAAATTGGTCTTGCCAGAAATACTTGTAGTACATGTCATAGCTTGCCTTTTTCTTTTTTTTGGTCCTCTTTCTTTTGAGGAAGGCATTGAAACCAACCAGTATCGGTTTTGCTGCCTGTTTGCACAAAAATGTGTAGCCTAAATTTAATTTTGTTTCATCTTTGGGTGAGAGGAGGAAGAAGGATCATCCTTTAACTTCCTGAGTTGGCCCTTACTGCTGGTGGTACACATAATTGCTTTTTCCCCCTGGATACAGACCTGCCAGGGCCTGGAGGTATATAATATGGATGGGAGGAAAACCAATTAGATATAAGGTCCCCAAATACTTTCATAGTGGTACATTTCCTACCAGCAACAGACATACACTTTCTGAATGAATATAGAGCAAGTGTGTATGTCTCCTTGCTTCCGAAGAAAAGGATCCTGCATTATGACAGCCACCTCAAGAAGTGTTCTACACATTAGTGCTGACCAGAAAGCCTGATCCTAGAAGGGTTAGGCAAACAGATTGGTGAGACTTGAAAGTGAGTACCCAGACAATGGCTCTTGCCCATCTTCTCCAAAATGCTCTCCCAGTTGTGGGCTTGATTCACTCAGAGAACTGGTGATGTAGTTCATGTTTATCAAGAGAGAATGAAGAGAAGTTTTACAGTGAACAGACTCAAAACCTGTTTCAGTCATCATGAACATGAATTGATACTTCACAGTAACAAATAAGATTTTAAGCAAGACAGAAACACTTGAGTCTGAAGTAAAGAGATACAAGTCACATAGCATGGGAACAATACTTAAACCCATGTTTGTAGATTGGACTGCTTAAAAGCTAACTTCAGATGTAAGAAGAAACAAGATTAAAAAAAATCCATGGGAATCTCAGAGGGCTGAAGTGAAAGAAATTAAAACTACCTTCATTTTTTCACACTAGAAGACAAAAAAAATGCCAGAGAAAAATCTGAAGGGTGACCTCACACAAACCAGGAATTTAGGATTCAAGACAAGGGTGAATTCTGACAAATCTAGAAGGATGGAGTACTGCTTCAACAACTTTGGTAAGAACGGGATACTAAAAAATTTTAGGCTAGAAGAACAAGAAGTGTAAGACAGAGGCTGGCTTAAGATGATTCATTCTTAATTATTCTTCATCTAACCAACAACAGAAGTACCACAATCTCATCAAATATATCAACCCAAAGAAAGTGTATATTAATGAAAACTGACCTCTAACTTACAGCACTGAAGTATAGCATTTTATGATTGTACTCAGCTCCTATATCTTTCTGGTGTTGTTTGCAACATCCACTTCAAGAAAACATGAATGACTGCTCTAGAAACAGGGGCATGAAATTAGATTCAAAGGGACAGAGCAGCACTGAATGCTTCCTGGGTATTAGAACAGGAACTGGAGGTACACTACAGACACAGCAAGAAGAATGTCCCTGCAAGAGTTGGTAGTTTTCTCTGGGTTATGAAAAATGATTTTCTTAGTTGGGCTTTTTTTGGTTTAGGACAATCTCAAAGGGGGTCAACCACCAGGTCTTTTTGCTACATTACTGAAAAGAACAAATGGGATATGGCTATACTACCTAAATATGGAGCTGCATATTTCAGTTGGCCTACTTTTTTTTCTTGGGTCAGCCATTCAAAAAGATATTTTCCATAAAAGCATCTAAAGAGCATCTAACACACATGAATACACAGATTTCATCTCAGTTTCAACTGCTGTTTCAACAGCTACCAAACTAATTTTTAAGAAGCTATATGCATGTGAACATGACTGCCTTAGAGACAAATAAAATTAATATTAATCCACATCTGTGGAAATTACTTCCAAACTGGCATCAGACTTTCACTGAGCTACGCTGAAGGCCAGATAAAGCTGCACACTGTATTTTTACCATTATGTTATATAGATCAAATGTGCAACATTCAAGGGCTAGTTTATTATTTACACTGCATTACTTTCACATGGCTGTTATTTAATTTTTTTTCTTACATTTTCAAGTGTTTTCTGTTGGTTCAGAGATGTTTTGTTCCTGGTTGCAGTGTCTTTTTAAGGCATAGCATCAAGTGAAGCAGACAGGAAATAAGGGTTGTTGCTCTCCAGAGGATGATTAAGCAAGTCGGCACAAATTCCCCGAAGTTCCCACAAACAGGCTCTTATGTAACAACGTATGTTTTCAAAGATCTTTTCTCTGAGCAGTGAAGACTATTCATGGGAAAAATAGAAGCTAGCTTTATAATAAACACTGTGGAGCATGAAATAACTATAAAATAAAGAGCACTATAAATGAAGTAACTTATTAAATACCAAAAATGCTACAGAAAATTATTCTGATTTACATTTCTCAAAATTAATCTTGGTCTTGCAGTCTCTTGCTTATGCAAACAAAGCATATTCCATGTTCCTTAGATCATCACCTGTAATGCTCTGGGACAAGTCCAGATGATGGTTTTAATGCAAGTAGTCCAAATGTCTTCAGTAGACTGTTTCTATGAAAAAAGGAGGATCCATCTTTTTCCTCTCACTTATGCCCAGAGCAGAATTTCTTTTAACTTGAGAAAAGGTTTTTTTAAAAAATTCCTTAACATTTACCTTGCATTAGACCTCTCCAGAACAGATCATCATTAGATTATTCAGTACAGCTGTGGATTGGTTAAAGCCATTCAGTATCGCATACTTTTCATTCTTTGAAAAATATACACACATTATAAAACACTAGGAATTTTTTTCTTCTCTTTAATTTTGAAGAAAATTGAGACATTTTATTACAAGAATTTTAAGCATATAGAAGTGATTATTTACATTCAAGTGAGAAAAAATACTTGACTAGCTAGCATTAGACATGAGGACAGACTACTATATAGTAGCAACTATAAATATAAATCTTGGGACACAAACATCAAAAAAGTTGACAAACAACACAGCACAATGTATGAAGTTTTCAAGTTACTTACGATTTCACTACCCATTTACAAAGATTTGATATTGCAAAGGTACAAAAGTCAGGTCAACCAAAAATAGCAGGGTTAACTCTGCTCTCACAAACCAGAAGCTCAAGCTGTGTTCCAGCAGAACATCTAGTATGCTCTGAAGCAGCTCTAAGACTGATTCCTATGAACCACACTATGCATTTTGTTTTCACACTATAAAACAGTATTCTCTGTATTAAACACATTGCCCAAATGTACAAAATCACACACAGCTTATCCTGTTATTCCTAAAATCTACAACTTAACTTTTCACATGAAAAGAACATCTAGTCACAAAAGGACTGGATCCTCTGAACTTTTTCTCTGACATTGCTGTCATATTCTGATTTTAAAAGCCCTTTTTCACCTGTTGACCTAAGACACGGAAGAGCCATATAACACAGGTACTCCCAAACAAATCCGTTGTTTTCACCTTTGCAAAACCTCTATGGTCCCCACCGAGAAGTTCAGTTTATCTCTTATCTGTCTCGCAATGGCACCAAAGTGAAAAAATAGAGTTAAAATCCAACGGCAATTTGCCATCATCTCATGCCCATATGCTCCATCTTTTCAATATTCAGATATCTTGAATGAATATACTTTTAATAATTTACTATTCCTGCTTAGTTGGTGCTTTGTTGTATTGTTTGCTTGCATGGTTAAAAGTGGGAACTCACTTTGTGAGGTAGCTTAGTCATAGAAACTAAACTAGAAGTGACCTAACAGGTAATTTTTCTGGTTGAACACTATCATTCTAGACTAGTCTATTCTAGTCATTTTCTAATAAGCTGTTAAAGGAGCCAGGTGATAAAGACTTATCACCACTTCCTTCTTTCACAGCCTGTTGACATCACTGCTTGAAACCGATGGCAATAGCCATTCTTTCGAGCATGGTGTTTCATTTTCTACTCCTTTTCCTACATGTAAGTGTTATTTTTACTCCGCAACCAATTATTATTAATTACCAAAAAATGGCCAAAACAAGTGTGATGAAGATTATCAAAACAACAGATATTAAAAGGTACTATATTTATTTCACTCTCCTTTAAAAATTGAAGCAAAATAAAAAATAGTAAACTTTTGAGTAACAAGAGCAGAAGCCAACTATTGTTATATCACACTGTTTTGGGTATGATTTTGATCTCAGTTCTTACTCTTAAGTGACTTCAAGAAAGTTACACAGTGAAACTCTGAAGTGAGAAATGCAGTAAACAAGCTGCAATTATGTTGGTCTGAGCTGCTCCTAATTATGAGAAGAGTCCACAAAGGCTAGAATTATATCTTCAAAATATTTAAAAGAAGTAATTTTGTTCTAACATCTTTAAATATGAAAGAGGAAAAGGAAACAGGACTTAAAACAGGTCTAGTGAGGAAAACTGAGAAGACAACTGCTACTGAGTTAAAAACAAAGCTTTAAAGATATATAAACGCTGGAAGGCAAAAAAAAATGCCAACCCTTGGGACAATAGGTCTAAAGATATTGTAAGAGAGACTGCTTGTTTCATTCAGTTGTACACGTTTGCTACGCTTCCTTAATATACATCTTTTCCAAGAAGGTTAATCACAAAGAGATCATAAAAAAGATAATTCAAGTTATTTTCCCATCATCTCTTAGGTCTGGCTTAGTACAGCCCTTAATACATTATTCAGAACAAAAATTTAAATAAAAAAACAAACAATTTTTTCTTTCCCTCTTAAGCCTAATGAGGCAATTCAGAGCTGAAAATCTAGCCTTCCAGGTTGCATGAGCCTCTGAAGACAACAGATGGGAGTACTGTAGTTAACAGAAGCATAAGGAAAATCCAAAAGGCTGCCAAAGCATTCCTGCTCCTTAGTCAGGAACTGCAGACCTGCCAAATACAGGGGTCAGGAACAGAGAACTGACAACTTGTACAAATGCTTTCCAGGCTTCAAGAGTCCTGATTCTCAGGAGCTCCCCAGTTGGACCTACCTAACTTGAAAAAGCTTCTTTTTTTTTCTTTTTCTTTTTTTTTAAAAAGCCATGCTGGCCCTAGGACAGCTTCCAGACTAAAAATAACTTATTTGCATTTTTAAAAGAAAACTTGCAGCTTAAGCAGCAGGGAAGATGGGTTCAAGCTAAAGCTTATCTACAAATCCACCTCAGCTGATAGATTCTTTGAACAAAAGACATTTCTGCTCATGTTAAAGGGCTATCTAATGGACATGGAATAGAATGGGATTCTTCCTACCAAGTTCACCTCAGTGCTGCATGAAACCAAACTGCCAAATGATTAAATGACTGTTGTTCCTAAAATTTCATATCCTATATCAGCACCAATGGACTCTCCCAAAGTGCATTCAAAGGAAGAGTCTGAGAACATCTACAGTTTTTCTTCTAAGCCTGTAAACTGGCTATTGACTGACCTTTGCATGCATGTGGTTGTTCATTTAAGGGGCAATTGAAGCAATTCAGGGAGTAAATGCTGGTTTAAAAATGGTTAATTGAGTAATACTGGTTAAAAAACATATAGTTACCTAGGAACTTTAGGTGCTTTTGGCATTAAGCATCAGCCAAAGGAAGATACTGAAATTTGTGTTTTCAGATTAGGTTGACTGATTTATGAAGCAGTATGGGTGAGTGCTTTGAGTCTAAACCTATAAAAAATATTCTAAGAAATGCTGTATCCTATTGCACCTACATTAAATTCTCTGCTTCGTTTGTGCAACCCACACAGGGTTAGGTAGGATTCCTAAATAGTTTAATTCACTGACAAGATACATACCACGGAAGTTCCTGCAAAGAGACAAAGACCAGAGGAATCAACTGAAGAGCAGCGCTGGATCACTCCAAGAAAAAGGGAGACTCCCCCTTCTGTATCAGGCTCCCAGATTCTTAGCAGGTATTGTATGATATCTCTACTGGTATTTTCAACCTGCTGCCTCGCCCTGGAGTTAGATGCATTATCATTTGTCCTTCTTTTGAAACAGAGCAGTGACCCTGGTTATCCCCACAAGCCAAAAGGGAAACAAGTCATCAGCTAAGAGAATTATAGCATCAAGGCATGGGAAACTGATTCCTTGTCTGCCTCTACTGAAACAGATTTAAACCTGCCTTTATCACCTCCAGGAGACTACTCTGAATGCTAAGCTAAAATAGAACAACTGTAGTAGGTAAGTTTTTTAACTCCTTTCTGTTCAAACCAGTCCATTTTTCATAATAAACATCCACCTGATCAAAGGCTATATACTAGGGTCTAGTGGAAGAGGCACTCATGTGGAAGTCCAGATTGTAGTTTCAGCTTTGAGGAAATATTTAACACTTAAATTCACAGAATCACAGAATATGTCAAACTGGAAGGAACCCATAAGGATCATGGAGTCCAACTCGTAGCCCTGCACAGGACCATCCCCAAGAGTCATACCATGTGCCTTAGAGTATCATCCAAATGCTTCTTGAACTCAGACAGGCTTGGTGCTGTGACCACTCCCTGGGGAGCCTGTTCCAGTGCCCAACCACCCTCTGGGTGAAGAACCTTTTTCGAATATCCAACCTAAACCTCCCTTGACACAACTTCAGGCCATTCCCTCAGGTCCTATTGCTGGTCTCCACAGAGAAGAGATCGGTGTCTGTCCCTCCTCTTTCCCTCATGAGGAAGTTGTAGACTGCGATGAGGTCTCCCCTCAGTCTCCTCTTCTCCAGGATGAACAGACCAAGTGACCTCAGCCACTCCTCATGTGGCTTCCCCTCAAGGTCCTTCACCATCTTTGGTGAACCGACTTGCCCCTAGCTTAAATTCCAAATGGAAGAGCCAAACCAATAGCTCCTGACAGTGAATCAGTGCTACAGCATGAGACCGAGTTACACTTGAAACCGTATCATTAATTTACACACGAAAGTGAGAAAACCGCTCGCCGACCACAAGGGGTACGTGTCAACCATATATGGGGGCCCCCTGGTGGAGCACTCTGACGGGCTTATTGAGATCTACCCCCAAAAAACCCAAAAGCTTAGAAGAGAGAAAATGCCGCGATCAAGAGGTCCAAGTTGGCCAAGCATCCCCAACCATTAGTAACGGAGAGCAAGTTTGGGAAAATTAAGCAAGTTATGGCCCTGACCGAGCAACCAGAGGCGACAATGAGCAAGTTATGAGAGGGTGTAGGGGGAAAGTATGCACCTGAAGCTGGTCGTGATAAACATTACTAATGCCAGGTTGCTGGTTTCTCATGAGGGGTACGACCAATAAATAACCCAGTACTTCTTGGTCAGCACGTAGAGCAAGGTTAATTGATGAGGGGTCTTAAAGGGTGGAGTTGGGTCCTGTTACATTCTTTGTGTTGAGAGGGATATTATGTGAAAGTTAACATTCTGTAGGTTTTAGTTCGGTTAGTGGATATATTCCTAGAACATGACATGGTGGGTCCTTGAAGTGGAAATGTGCCTAGATCTGTGGATGGCTCGGGTGAGGTCGTATGGAAGAAGGCATAAAAATTTATGTGTTTTGAGCATTCATATTATGTCAGAATTTCCTACATGCATGGTATGTCTAATGTGGGAAATA